GTTACTTATTATAGAGTGTACAACACTGAAATACTAACTTATAGTTTTCAATAATGACATCCAGCATATTGTTTAATCCAACATCATAAAGGCATTTAATTTATAAAGGCAAATATTTAATTTATTAGTTTTGTTTTTACTGATTCCCTTTTTCTATTATTTACCATATGGAATTTTTGGATAATGGCTGGGTAAATAGCTATTTGGTTCAGGCTACCAAATACAGAACAGATGTTTCTTCCCCAAATTAGTAAATGTGTTGTCAAATAAAACTTTTTATTATTATTACAATAACTAATTTTATGTTTTTAAATGTATTAAATAGACATAAAACATATATAAATTATAATACTATAAGAATAATAATAAATATAATTTGCATAATAATAAAGAGGAACTGTAATTAAATCCTCATTTGACACATTTAAAACCTGCCTTTTACGTTTTGGGATTTATGTTTATTGGCGATCATCATAGGTCATTCACACCATGTTTATTGTTATGCACCATTCACCTAGCCGAATTCATTATATGTGTAACGGATTTGGGCTTTTCATTTGCCACAACCCAGGGATATTTATATCAGTATGCCCGGCAGACGTGTGTAGCTGAATTAATGCTCCTACCTCGGGGAGAACAACATCCAAGTGTAGTAAAGCAGACAGTGTAATAAAAGTAATCACTTAGTGGAGTTCATTTACAGCACTAAAACAAAGGTCACTGACATCCCCGTTCAAAGCATCTCATGGAAATTAGGCACAATTTACTGACGGTAGATCCTTAAGGACGCCGGCTTGTAGCTGTGGAGGGACATTCACAGGTATTTTGTATGTGTGGGAGCACCTGAGCTTCGGCTTGGCAGGAGACAACAGACAGGTGGATGCTCAGCCAGCCAAAGTCCCATTACTTGCTCAGGGGGCACCAAGTGTGTGTGCACATATGTGCGTGTGTGTGTGTGTGTGTGTGCGAGCGAGCCTGAGCAATCACAAGGTAATTACTTTTTTCTTTTTGTGTGTGTGCGTGTTTGTGCATGCGTGCAGGTGTGTGTGTGCAGCGCGGGTGATTAGAGATGGGTAGCGGGTGGAGGGCTTGTCAGAAGTTATCTTCCCATCTCATCTCATCATAGGCAGTCTGGCGGATTCCCTCGATGGCTTAACAGCTCGACGCCGCTGTGCTGCTGTCAATCCGGCCGTCAACGCCTACAGAAATCGATGCCAATCTCTCTCAGTTTCTATTTTTAACCAATTCTCAGCACCCAGGCCTTTGATAAGGATGCTGCCTTCTTTTGGCTCTCCTCTTTGCCTCGGATGGGCAGCCCCCCCTCGTCCCACTTCCGACGTCTTTCCTGCTGATGAGAGGTGATAAGAGACAGACGAGATGGAGCTAAAAGCATAGACCTGCTCTGAAAAAGGCTTTCATGGTGAGAAAGTGATGATTGGTAGCACTATTACCACCATTAAGAGCCAAACAGGTTGTAGGATTAGTAGTCAAAGACATGATTGCATTCAAATTGTTACTTTCATCAGTGGTCGCACTGTTTCCACTGGTACTTCTGATATGCTATACTACTACCTTTACTTAACATTGACACAGATTATTTAGATTGAGTACAAAAATGACTGTTGGCAGTAAACAACTTTATTTAAGGTTTTACACAATGTTAGAACTCTATACAAATTAACAATGGTGGTACAACTAGGTATGGGCACAGGTCCTCCCTTAAAGTTAGGGCTTTACAATTAAGGTGGGCAGGACCAGGTCCAATATTACATTAAGGGTGCACATTTACCAACAAATGTGCAAGTAATGCAATGACTAAAAATAAGCTGATCACAGTGTCACAGCCAGTTAATGCAACCTTGGATTCACCTTATTTACATGATCACCAAACCAGGGACTCCCGGTGGCCATTAAATACGATGATCGTCTTCCTGAAAGATCATTGTCACATGTGTACACACATACACTAAACCGATATTTTACACGATTGGATGTTACACAAATGAGTACAATCAAAGCTCTGGAGCTTTCAATCATGTCGCACAATCTACATGAACAGATGGAGAGAATCGCGGCCTTTGTAGACACCACATCTCAACTGTAGAAACACCACCAACAATGTTTAATTCCGTCAATAAAATTTGATAGAATTCTAGAAACTATACCACATTTTATGTTGTTTTACCTTTAATTTAAAAATATCTGTATAAATTGGAGTAGAACATACTTGAGTAAAGAAAAATAAAATGCACTTATCAGCAACTGTCTTGTCTGCTTGTACTTGGCTTCCATGTCTGTTTACTAGATGTGTTTCCTCTGTACACTCAGCGGGACTTTGTCACCGCTCGGTCTTCATTACAAAAGGAACTCCTGAAAAATGAATATCACCCTCATGAGCTTAACTTCAGATGTTGAACATTAATAATCACGATCGCTCTGTGAGTTCTGCGTTGACAGCAATCGGGTGCTGGCGGGAGTGCAGTTGGGTGGGGAGTTGTTAGAAGTGTGTCTCCGTTTAATCGTATTTGACAAACTATGATGGTGTGGTGTGAGAAATGTTTTGTTTTGTATATTTCAAATTCTGATCGTTCATTTTTCAAAACTGTATAGAACGTCTTTACGCTGAGAATACTCCCTTTGAATTTTTCTTTCCAATTTGACGTTAACTCACAGCCTTGTGTTGAGATCCTTTATCGTGGTTCAAAGTAGAACAAAAAAAAGACATGGACTCAACTTTGTGCAATTCATATTAGATGTTTTAACACCTCTGACTTTGATGCAGGCTCAGCAACAACAGGAAAGGTGCGCCGAATGTATGCAAATGAAGGTCACACATTTTGCTTTCCTTATATCCGTGAGCAGTCAGCAACAACTTATCTTAGGTCACGCTGCGTCACAGCGCCATCCTAATATAAAATATATAATAGAGAACCGTGTGTTTTCATTGTAAAACAGTAACATCCACAAGCTTTGGCTATTATTTCCTTTTACTGTACTGTGAGGGGAAATATTTTGCAGCTGCATTGTGTTTGTCTATTCTGCCCTAAAGTTGTTAGTAGAACTCGATTCAAACATTTTCCCTCTAATTGGGTGTTTTTGTGGATGCTGGATTAATCAGCCGCAGGGTATTTAATGTTGTTTGGGCAGCTGAGAGGTAATACAGCCAAGCCATTATCATATCATTAAAGAGTCCTAAGCACAGTAATTGCAGCCAGAACGCTGACGCTACACTCTCATTAAGTGGACTCTAAGAGAGGAGACGTCTTGTTGTGATGGCTTTCAGTGAGATGTTGAGAAAAATTTGTGTAACTCAGCACACTGTTATCGCAATGGGATGTCACACTATGAGCAGAGATTGTTTCCAAAAGGCTGTGTAGGCTTATGTTGTGGCATCTGAACTTTTGCCATTTAGAGGCTGCAGAAATAAGAACTCAAGTTGCTCAATAAGCTGCAATGTTGGCCTGTCGATTGGTCCACCACTTTGGTTCTAACTGAAATAAGTCAAGAAGTCAAGAAATACAGGACAGATTTCAATTGAGCATCATTTAATAGTTCCAGAGAATAAATCATCTTGACTTTAGTGATCCGTTTCAATTACTTTACCTTTTTGGCATAACGACTTGTCCTTTAGCGCCACTATGAAGCTAACATTTGCTGTCTTGATTGAAATGAAGGATTGTGGAAATTTGGTTTGAACCAAATGATGTGAATACTAGTCCAATATTTGGGTTTCTTACCAAATAACTGCTAAACAAATTATATGCCCATCAGTTTCATCTGTGCTTTGTGTTCATTTGCAAAACTTTGCAGTATTAGAATACTGAAGTATTCAGTTTGTTCGTTTTTGGTAAGTTGGTGTTCCAACTGATTTTGACATGGATCCTTTCCTAAACCCAGGGCCAAATGTGACACGATCCACCCCAGATTCTAAATTAGTGTATTCTTCTTTTTAAAGTAGTACAATATAAATGAGGAGAAAAAAAAACTAAAGGTGCTTTAAGAGTTCATGAAACAAAAACATTGTTCGAAATAAAGTCCAAATTAATATTAGAATGGATCAGATTTTCTGTCTATTTTATAATGAGATTTTGATTGATTATGAGATTGAGACACAAATAATTTGCCCATGTGCATACAACTTTGAAAATTTTAGAAAACCTCTACATTAATAAGTTGACTTATCCTCTGTATCTGTACTTTGCAGGACTCATCTGTGTCAATATTTGACGGACTTTCTGGTATAATTGCAGATTCCCTTTTGTATACTCGCTCAAATTCCGGGGATTATCCAATTACTGCTTGCGTGCCGACAAACAAGGGGGCCTCTTTGCCTTTCCCTAATTGGAATGAGGACTAGTGCCAGTGCTCAAAGGAAAGGCCCATCAGTGAGAATTATTGAATAGGGAAGGAATAAAAAAAAGGATATGTGGTCTGCCTTGGGCTGCTTGTGCGTTTCCTCTGATTTCATCAGAAAAAAAATGGCTGAGGCGATTCCCCCAGACAACAGCCAGCTGGTGTGTGTAGGCGAGATTTGCTGCCCAAAATCCCTGAGAAAAGAAAGTGAAAGAATCCCACTGTGCCTCTGCAACTCATCCCCTAAACAGTCCTTCAGCTTGCCCGCTGTCAGACAGCTCTGTGGGATAACACGGCAAAGCCCAAAATCCATCTTTATTTTTCTGTGAATTAGTGTGTAATTGTGTTGTTATGTGTGGCAATTTCATGGCTTATAGCAGATTAAATATGCACTGAATATAAGCAATTATGTCAATGAAAGGTGGTTTGAATTGAGCTTATACTTTAAGCTACTAATAATTTGACATGTTTTACTGCTGCATTCCTGCTGCTCTCTAGCCATTTGTACTATACTTAGCTACATGTGTTCGGAATCCAATCCAGTGAAAGCTCTTGTGAGTTTTGGTGTGTACACTTCGGGTGTGCCTGGAAGTGGCAATAGAAAACACACACAAAAAGGGCTAATGAAACGAGAGATGTGCGGCAGGTTGAACAGGCTTGATTTATAATTTATTGAGCAGCACTGACGTTACAACAGAAAACAAATGAAGCAGAGAACACTAAAGAGCATTATTTATTACTGAAGTGCAGCCTGAGGGAGGTGGATACAGTAGCTAAGCACTCATACACATACTGTACACAAACATGCTTCATTATTGCAGCTGTCAGATGAAAGTCCCATTTCTCCATTTCTGACATTTTGTATGTTTTTACCTAAACTTGAGGATTATGCGACCTTGTACAGCTCAATCAAGTTCCATAACGTGAGGACCTAGTTATATAAATCCCCAAACTGTTTTCGCCAAACACGTTGAGGATATGAGGGTTACAGCACAATCAAAATGAGAACACAATCTCGGGTGAAACAGCGGATGGCCACAATGTGTTGAAACATAACTTCCTCTTCATATGCTAAGCTGTTTTAAATAATTCAGGCTCTGTCTCATAGATACGATGATGATTGAATGGGAACTTTTAGATTTCCATGGACCCCCTACTGTTCCTGAATCGAATCCTCTCAGCTTCCTCTCACGTGTCTTTGCTGCTCGACTATTCTTTTTGACTTCCTCTCTTTAAGAGAATATGTTGAAGTGAGAACCTGAAATATAAATTCATCCAAAAATGCAAGCAAAAGAAACTTTCCATTCCACCCCGATGAATTTTAGATCATAACAATTTACAGCTGTGAATAAATCATTAAGCCTTAGTAGACCATATCAAATGCAATTCCACCTTGAATAATTATGCCCCTCATATCGACAAATATATAATGTCACACGATTGCAAGCATTGGTCAATTTGTCGTAATATCCCGGGATTAATTATTCAGTTCTGGGTTTACAACAACTACACATTTAGAAATTAATCAGTCTCTGCTCAGGAGGAGAAAAGCAGGAGGCTGTTTTACAGCGAATAGAAACAGAAGGATGACATTTAAACCCAATTCCCACAGCACCAACCAGACAAAGCACGCGCAGGATCATTTCAATATCTTTTTTAATTGGTTGGTGCCAAGTTTATTTCAGGCAGAAAGTTAGTGCTGATGAATACCATTATAGGCCCTTTTGACTTGTTCTGGACCTAATTTATGATTGAACAGAGATTTGCCCTGAGCTGAGTTCCATTTTCAGGTTGGTGTTGAAAGCTTTACAAGAACAGTGTTGGTCTAATTAAGCAGAGTCCTTACAAAGAGCTCATGTGAAACGGATGACTAAAAAACAGGTGTTCATGTGAAATGACAAAAATAACAAAACAAATATGTAGTGCTATCCAGAGAATAACGAAAATTGCCAACCGATTTAACACTAACTGCATACAGAACTGCAGACATACACAGCAACCAGCGGATGGACGTGTTGCAGCATCTAGCAGCAACATATTAGTCTATGGACCGGGTGGAGACTAAAACAGAGATAAAAGTTGACCAAATATTGAACTTGCATTTCTATGGCAGACCAAGACACAACAGATTTCTAACCCAAAGCGAAACCGTGTTACTTGAAGAAATATAAACATTACAAAGCTTAGCACAAGTCATCTTGGAGATTCAGGGTTTTCACAGGACAGCAACAACATATTTCTAAATAGAACATGTATAGAATTTGGTGACATTTTTATTGACAGCGGGATTGATGGGTGATACATTCTGCTCACACTTTCTGTATGTTGTCACTCTTGGAGGAGAGATGGTCCCTTCACATTCGGCGTATTAACAAACAACATAGATGACCTACCTCTGTAAGTTGTTTCGTTTTAATTGTGGTATCCGCTCCTCCTGATCTCTTTTTTGGAGAGCTGTCCAGCTCCAGTTTTATACAGCAACCTCGGGGCAGAGGAATGCAGGAATGAGTTTTAAATTCAGGGCACGTGCAGCCATCATTCAGGTGGGAAGCCTTTGTGAAAAAGTAGGTCTATTCACAACTCAAAATTGATTTGTCAGCCCACACGAAAAGCACCATTCAGCTCTATTGTCTTAAAACCAATTGTTCAATTAGGTTAATTTAACATTTTTCACATTACAAATCTGGTCTGAAATGATAACCTGAAACAGTACACACTCCCTGCGGCGACTATAGCGCGGACTACTTTTTTCGCTTGCATATTCTTGATAATGGGCATATCCTTGATAATGGGCGAGAAGGTGGCAGCTGTCGTATCCACAGGAAGCAGTCATAGCCACAGGAAGCTCGCTGTGTGTGCTGGCCAGCATGTCGAGCACTCACCGCGTGTTTAGTGGCTTCTACTCCTACATGAACCCATCTACCATCACGTAGGAATAAAAAGCCATAAGACACGACGGCAATCTCACAGGAGGTGGGGAAGAGAAGGAGACAGGTGGATATAATCAACGGAGGACTTCTGCTTTCATCAAGAAGGTAGAATAGTTGGTAATAGTAGAAAAAAAGAGGATTTGAAGAGGAAGGGAATGAGAAATTGAGCTGATTTCATAGTCATTCAAAAGTCAGGGGTAGACCACACGGGATACAAGTATTTATAGGGGCCATGTCCTCTGTATTTCTCTCTGTTTGATTACGTGCTTCTGAGTGCAGCAGATGAATATGTATTGCAGGCATTACTCGACCGAAATTCCTCTGTGTGTAAACTGTATTTGATATGCTCAAAGCAAACTGCTCTGATGAACCTAACCAAACTCCATCTGCTCTGTTTCCAAATAAACACATTTTCTAGCTCTCGCAAGCAGCTGCACATGTTTTAATGTGAAGTTTATGGCAAATGTAAGCTTGTCTTTCTCAAGATGTTGCATGAATAAATATCTATCCATTAAAACAGTACGTGCTTCTGGTAACATCCACTTCATAGTGTCTGTTCGCAGCTCTCCTTCAGCAGAAAGACAGTTCACCCGGTTGTAAAAGGGTTACAGTGTGATTGTGCATGCGCGCCAAAGTCAGGCACATCCAGATAAATATGTATGACACAGTAGGTTTCCTGCTTTGTATGCTAATGATCTTATACAAGTTTTATAATGCAACTGTGGTGCACTGAGGGTGCAGGTGGAGATGGTGGTGGTGGAAAGCTGACACGCACGGAAGAGAGGAAAGAAGAGCACAACTGCTCAATGAGGCCTCATGGTACCAGGAGTGAGTAGTGAGGCAACAGTTTACATTAATTCCCAATCATTTGTCAGCGAACAGGTTGGATTTCAATGCACTTGACCTAAAAAGAACAGTTTGATGCAGTGAGGAGATTGATATTCTACGTAGATGCAATACATTTTGGAAGAAAGAGGAAACAGATAATGATGGCAAGTTAGGGTAAACTATTGCATCACCTGTGGAAAGAACATTAACAGAACATTCATTTTACTGCAATTAAGTACCGTCTCCTTAAACAGCGTTACGTTTGAAAAATATAAAATGAATCTATTTGCCAGCATAATTATGCATGTTAAGATTTGATGTCTTATAAAATACAATGCTTTCTTATGAATTAATTTACATCATAATAAAGAAAGTAGATAACATTGGTCGCTTTTGAACCAGGTGCAACATTAAGTACTTGTGCTTTTACTTTTGTTACTTTAAGTAAATCTCCCCGGTATCCTTAGGCTACTTTTACTTAAGTAAATAACTTGAATACTGTCAGACTATAAATAATGATGTGTCATTATAGCAAATCACTTCATTTTTATACTTCTTTTTAATATCTGGATATCCCTCCCACCCATTGTACTTTACTTCCAGTAGATTTCAGAAGACCATATTATACTTTTGATTCAACTACATTTATTTGCAAGGAATTGCTTGAGCTGCGCAGAATACTTTCATGTAAGACTTTTGATACAAAACAGATGATCCGGTGATACTTTGAGATGAGCGAGGGTTCACGTTGGTGTGTGCTGTTCTGCCCACTGGGTTATCTGAAACACATCCTCTTGTGTTGGGGGAAGATGACCGGAAGGGTTCAGGCTCCCCATGTCGCAGGTCTGTGCGTCAACTCCCGAAGGATCCTGCAACAGAAGCAGAACAGAACAGACGTGAGTTGAGTTTACAGAGGAAGAAAAGTTGAACCTGAACAAGTGTAAAAAAAAACGTATTGCACCACTGTGGCTCTTTGGATGTAATGAGTCAATCTTATGGCTTCGGAGTTAATGGAACGGCCGTTATCTTCTGCTTTTTAAGTGCATACACTACCGAACAAACCCTGGAAGACATTTCAGATTCAGCTGTCGACCCTTAACATTTTACCCTTCTTCCTGAGAAATTGGAGGCTTATACTGCGATTTTACGGACATACCCTCGTCTTGCAGCTCCAAATAGCCATTAACCACAAACCAATTATGTCCCTTGTTGAGCAGCAGCTACTTCTTGATGACAAGTGCGGTTTACCTCGCCTAATGAAAAGTTAATAGTGAGCACAATCCTGCACCTGCTAAAGTCTCCACTGAGGTGGAAATTGTTGACAGTGGGTGAATTCAGGATTTAAACTATGAAGCATATGGTTGAAATAATTATTCTGCTTCTAAAGTACATTTTGCAGAGGAGCCAGAGATGGTCGTGAACACGAAAAGTTTATCATCTAAAAGGCTCTGGAAATTGTTTGGGAAAGCACTCCACACAATGAGCTGTGACATCTTCATTGAAAAATGATTGATTGGGCTGCCGGGGAGAGAGGCTGTTTGAGAGACGGATCACTCAAACAGTCAGGCTGTAAAAGCCCAATAATATGATGAATGGTCTATTTAGCCAACAGATGACAGACTTGCATAAAGATTAAACGTGCTGTTCGAACGTGTCCTGGTCACAGAATAGATATATAGTTTAATAATATGCCGGTGTTCTCTGTCAGAGAACAAGTTGGAAATTCCCTTAAGTTTCGGCTGATTTTTGGAGTGAAAATAACGTGTCTTGGATTGTTCACACCTTTTTGAAAAAAAGAATACAGGGAATATTCTTTATACCTACACAAATTCCACTAACATAAGCCACCAAGTTCCTCAAAGTTCCAATGAAGAGAAATTATAAATGACAGTTATCATTATAGCAAAGCCGTGTCATCCATTATTCTCCTTCACCGGAGGCCCTTGTGTCTTCATACGAAAGTATCATGGGATGGCCAATTTAACACTTTAACGCGCACAAACTATTTCTAAAACCACTATTTCACTTAGCCAAACAATGTCTCTGAGGATCGAAAGCGTGTGTTGATGTAGTGACCCCATTTTTTACCCATAGCATCTATAATTGATGTGCAAGAGATGTACAGCCTCGGATCTGATAAGGGCTCGGCTCTGATGGATCTCCAGATAGGCTTCCGTGGGGGGAACAGATGTAGAATCGTGCATCAGAGAGGGATCGGGTTGCCTGTGATCGTTTCCACCCTGCAGCGAACAAAATAGCCCTCATATATCCCTGTAATCTGCATTAGCGGTGGAGCACAAGCCAGGAGACAGCACAGAGGGGGATGAGTAATGGGGCTACCGCTGATTTGGCAGGCCTACATTACACCTCAAAACTGAGGCGTGCCCAACTGGCGAGAATATGAAATGAGGATATCACAAATGAACACCGGTCCCCCAGAGCGCACTATTTATCAGCTGGTACTACACCCAAAGACCTGCTTTTAGCAAACTGTAGGCTGTTTTTTCATTTTCAATGTTCTTCCAGTAGCTTGAGTAATATTTAACTAAAACAAATAGTCATTCGTTGAGAATATGGTAGTTTATTTCTTCAGGATTACAATAAAAAAAACACCTCTTAAAGGTAAAGGATTGTGGAATCCTAGTCATTCTTAAAAAAGACAAATGATGGCTGCCATTTGATTAAAACACAAACTCTGTCACTCTATGACACCACCACTCTTCCTCTTAGTTAGTAGTTAATTTCATTTTGTAATTTTAGGGTCTGAGTGCTTGTAGCATTGTTTCCTGGCACATTTCTGCTCATTTTCTGTTTCTGCTCAGTTCTCAGTAGGTAGTAGTATGAATAATTACCTAACATTGCTTTGGCATCTTCTGTCTGTATTAAAACCCCCAAAAACGGAGCCACAAGCAACTGGCGAATGAATGGACATGAGCACAGAGCCAGGGCAATAAATTAATGTTTCCTTCCAGCAGCTACACTGTTGTGCAAATCCCAAAATACAACACACAAAATAAAGTGTACAACACACCAGACCCAGAAGGGAAAATAAATGATTTACATGCACCAGGTCTATCTTGTCCATACTTTTTACTCCTCCCTCCTATTCAGCCTTAACAAAAAGATAGAAGAAGTTATTTTCAACTGAATATTTTTGATTACGAGAGTAAATTTAGCAAGACAAGAAAACTCCATAGCTGTAACAAAAGTAGCGGAAATCTTTTTATTGCATCTCAAACAGAGCTAAAGCCTAAGAAGTGAAGATGTAAAATGAGAGCATAACAAACACTGCGCCTGGCATTAAACTCTTGTAATGGCTTGTAACAGGATATGCTTACTTGCTATCTGGAATTAAAGCGTAGATATTACATCCCTTGGGGCCAATCAAGTAGTTATGTGTGTATTCTGCTGGGACATTAATGTACTCACACAAACCCTGTTTGTGTGCTCAGTTTGTCCATGTGTCTGAGTATGTGTGAAAGTAGTTTAATTTCCTCTCATAATTCATGATTCCCCCCATTAATAGATTGACTCTGGTGCGCTCGGGTTCCTATTGGCGATTAAAATATCTCATAAGCAAAACACACAGCTCAGGCAAAGAGGGCGAGTGTCTAACACCCGTCTAATGTTATTGTTTGTGCTCCACTTTGAATAGAAATGCGATTATCAAGGAGAGAGATAGGATGACGCAACGTAACAAATGGTGCAAAACTTTTTCTTCTTCATCTGATACAAGCAGCTCATTTAATCAGCATTGGTGCCTGAAAACATCAGCATATGGTTATATTAAATCTGCATCATGGAGTGCTGTGCAGGAGCATCTGTAAGCCGAGCCACTATTTTTCTCTCCAGCCTTTACAGGATATGCATACAAGCCGCTGTTGTGTGTAGCTGTTCATTATTGGAGCAACAAATCAGCAAAATGGAAATGTTGAAAAGCTGCAAATCAGAATAATAATAAGTCCAAACAATAAGAGCTGAAGTGCTACCTCTCATAATACGTCCACAGGGGATGAATAGCTGTAGGATTGTCTCCATTTAAACCTCATCCTTTATTGTGCCTTTGATCTTTCAAGGACTTTCATTAGCAACCTGCTTCTAGAACAGCAAAACCACTCTGTATTAAGCTATATATGCACAACGAATATAACCTTTTGGGTGTCATTAGAACACCAGGATTTTTTCATTAGGCTATTGTTTAAGTATGAATGTGTCAAAGTACTTCTTCAGTAACCTTTACACTCCCGCTTACGGCCTCTAAGTTCCTGCTGCTGCAGTTTTTTCCACTGCAGGGTATTAGAAAATTGCTTTTTCCATTTCATGTGTCTACGATGAAAAGTGCTTGTGGAAGCATTTTGTAAGCGAGTAGAAGATTAACTCAGATTACCTGTATCAGAGAGCAACAACTGACCTGCAAAGGTGAAATGTGTTGTTAATGGGTTCACTACTTCGTAGGATGCCTTTTAGTGAGAACATTGGCAGCAAAGCACTGGAAGCTATTTGGATTCAATGTTGCTGATTGAATAACTGGATATTGTGTTGACGTGACTAACTAGTTATTGTTAAAAAACTGTTTACAAAAGCCCCAACAGTAAACATCAAACCTACCAGAACTAATTAAAAAATGAATTCATAGGGTAACAATTCCCCCGTCCTTTTTATTTTGCCTCTCTTTTTTGTTGCTTTTTATCTTGCGTTAATCTGTTTCAGCAGTTTGTTTGTCTATTCTATTGTTTTCTTTTAGTAGCCAGTTTAACATCTTGACCACTTTATTCTTGCCAGCGTGCATTCTTTGCTGTTTGTTTGTTGGACTGCAAAATAAAGAAATTATTAATGAACTAGAAATTGAAACGACCCTCCCTAGTATGAAACAAATCAGCCTTATCTAGCCTGTCGTCGCTTTGTCTCTTGCTCTCATTACTCGTTGAAGGTTTTCTCTCCCGTTGACTCCAAAGTGAGAACATTTTCATGAAGGCAATAAAACGCTCATCAGCAGAGGCCTGAAATTATTTTTTAATATGACGACATTTTAATGAGGACTGAAAGAGATGGCTGGTTTGGCTGATGGCAGATCCTCTTTATCATTGAGTGGCAGGGAGGAACTAATGGCACTAAAACAAACAGAAAGCTATAGTCTCTCTCTCTCTCTCTCTCTCAAACTGTGCTTCTAACTCTCCCTCTCTCTCCCTCTCTCTCTCTCTCGCAACACATTCTTTGTAATCTTTCTTTGTAGGAAGTACATCGAAGTTGGCCAGGATTCGGGTATTAGGAAGTTTCAACCATCGCTTCTATCTCGATGACAGAGGAAACTGTAGTTTGCCATACTTGACCTTTTTTTTGGACAGTTCCCGTCTCTTTTCTGTCTGTCCTTTCCCCATCTCAGTGTTTGCAAGTTTTGTCATTGAATGGAATTCAATCAGAGGACTTTACAGTTCAGTCGCTTCAGATGTGAGTGGAGTTGGAGGCTGGAGAGGTTACGACGAAGTTACAGAGCCTGTCGGGGGTCATTGTTTGAAACACACAAGTCGTTTGAAGTCCACATCTACTTGGCAAAGGAAAATATAAAAACGTTGGTGTCATCAACATAGATATTCAGAGTTCGCACAGAAGCTTGATCTGTTTAATGCCAATTACACGCCCTTCTGTGAAGATGAGCCAAGCGTCAAAACTATAATACAACTGATGTTGTAAATTAATGTCACAAAAGGTGAAAATATACATATTACTGTCAAGTCAAAATTACTGCTGCAATGGGTTTTTGAATGTGACTTTCACTTGAAGCCTTTTATCTAACAAGTTGTCAGGCGAAAAAAAACCCAAAGGCTTTCAAATTGCTGTAAAGTTATGATAAGAAGCAAATTAATGTCAG